TGTTATTAATCATCTGATTATCATCATTTTTCTTTAGTGCGTCTAACAAAAGCAATTTTTTCCTTCATGTTAACTGTATTTCTTTTCCATTATCATTTCTGAACTGTTCAACATATTCTATGCAACTCTTATAATTTACTGTAGGTATGCAATGGTTCAAAAAGCAATAAAGGGCGTGTTTTAAAAGTTGGTCATATGGTGCATCAAAAAAGGAAGAACAACTTTCCCTCTTTCGAAATCAACTCGGTAAAATCAAAATTAAGCAAAAACATTTTTTGTCTTTTTTCACTTTTACCTTTCTTCGCTTCCTTCTTCAGTTTAAGTATCCTAAGAATTAGTGTTTGTTATTGCGGGTAACAGCATTGATATTAAAAGTGCAAAAAAATTTGCATATTCAGCGATTGTTTTTGCAGTGACAGCATCATTACTGCCACTGAGAATATCAATAAAAATCATTTAAATAAAGTGAGTAAGACTTTCCGGTTTTTTACTCTTTTTTTTTTTTGCTGCTTTTTCTGACACTGCAATAAAAAAAAAAAGTTTGCTGTCTTTTTTTTTTTTTCTAATCTTGATTTGCTTATTGAGTATTTATTTGCTTAATCGATCTGTTGTTATAACTGTCCCAAAAAAAAAGAAAAGTTTTTTTTGGCTTCAAATTATCAGTTATATCAATCTTATTAATGTTTACACCAATTTTTTTTTTTTTCAAGTGCATGGGAATTTTTCTATGTTCTTTTCTTTTTTTTTTTTTTTTTTAAAGTCGTAATTACTTTACGTCTCTTTGCTCTATTCGCTTATTCTTTATAACATTTTCTATTGTTAAGCTGATTAAAAAAAGACAACGCTCATAGGCACTTTTTTTCTGTTGCATTAAAATTTCGTTTTTTGGTTTTTTCACCTCTTTTACCTTATTGACAAACATTTTATTGGTGAAAATAAACTTTATGGCGCTACTGTAGCCTAAGTTTTGCTGTTACCATTATGACTGAATCGTTGAAATCAAACTGAACATAAAAGTTTTTGTTTGTGCACCAATTTTTCAGCTTTTGGTATTCGGCTTGCCATTATTTTTGTTGCTGTTGCTGTCGGTGCTGTTGTTGGCATTGCTGTTGCCGTTGCTCTGCTTTGCTACCTCAGCAAATCTTTCAGACCACCTCAGTTGACTAGGCATTCGTAGTGCTTTCTACAACTGTTTGCTGCTAATCTGTCTACACAGATCTGATATATTGAATTGACACAACGACAACAACAGTAACAACAACTTCCGATATTCGCTCCAAATACTTCTTTATTTTTCCAAAACGATGTATTTTTTCCCCGACTTGCTTTTTTGAACAAGAGCCGTGGAAAATGAAGAGGAGGAAGAGTGAATAATTGGAATGCGGCATTTGAAAATGCATTCCGCACTACTGGTGACTGCTTTTATAAGAATTTCTTACAGTTTAACAGTGCTTCAGTAATCAAAGACTGTTTAAATTAATTGCCACGTTATTTCAACCGAATAAATTTACTTGATAACAAGTGACCAACGTAAAAATTCATTTTTCTTTTTGTTTTTGTTTTCCCTTTTTTAAATTTTTTGAAGTTGCTTTTTTTTCTTTCATTTTTTGCATTCTTTATTGCTGTTTTTTCTGTGATATTTTAATAAATTAGTATTTGAAAGAAAGAAAGAAGAATAGTGCTGAGGTTGAAAATTGTGCACAAAAATTATACTTTCTTGTTCTTTTCTTCTTTTCTAATTTTTTTTTTCTTCTTGGCGCCACCCATTCCAAAAAAAAAA